TGGTCTTGTCAACCATCAACACTTGATGCTTTTCTTGATTTCAACCTTCGTCGATTTCTGCATCATGAAGAGCTTGGGAATCAATTCTGTTATCCCTTGCATATTATAGTTCATCACTAAGTTCTAGTAATTTGGTGATAGTGACTAGAGAACTTTGTCAATTACTATCTTATCTGGAAGATTAACTCCCACTTGATTCAAACAATTGCAGTACCCAGACAATCTGAGCACATGCTCATTGGTTGAGCTATTCTCCTCCATCTTTGTAGGCAAAGTACTGTCAGAGGTCTCCTACCTCCCAACACGGGCATGAGTATGAAATACTAATTTCAACTCTTGGAACATCTTATATGCTCTGTGGCATTCAAAACATTTTTGAAGTCCCGGTTCTAAGCCGTAAAGCATGGTGCACTAAACTATCAAGTAGTCATCATACCGAGCTTTGCCAAACGTTCATAACGTCTGCATATGCTCCTGCAATAGGTCCGTCACCTAGCGGTGCATCAAGGACATAATTCTTCTGTGCAATAGTGAGGATAATCCTCAGATCGCGGATCCAATCCGCATCATTGCTACTAACATCTTTCAGTTTATTTTTCTCTAGGAACATATCAAAAATAAATGGGGAAGCTATGTGCGAGCTATTGATCTATAACATAGATATGCAAATACTATCAGGACTAACTTCATGATAAATTTAAGTTCAAATAATCATATTACTTAAGAACTCCCACTTAGATAGACATCCCTCTAGTCATCTAAACGATCACGTGATCCAAATCAACTAAATCATGTCCAATCATCACGTGAGATGGAGTAGTTTTCAATGGTGAACATCACTATGTTGATCATATCTACTATATGATTCACGCTCGACCTTTCAGTCTCAGTATTCCGAGGCCATATCTGCATATGCTAGGCTCATCAAGTTTAACCCGAGTATTCTGCGTGTGCAAAACTGGCTTACACCCGTTGTATTTGAACGTAGATCTTATCACACCCGATCATCACGTGGTGTCTCGGCACGACGAATTTTCACAACGGTGCATACTCAGGGAGAACACTTATACCTTGAAATTTAGTGAGGGGTCATCTTATAATGCTACCGTCAATCAAAGCAGAATAAGATGCATAATGGATAAACATCACATGCAATCAATATAAGTGATATGATATGGCCATCATCATCTTTTTCCTTTGATATCCATCTCCAAAGCACCGTCATGATCACCATCGTCACCGGCGCAACACCTTTATCTCCACCGTAGCATCGGTGTCGTCTCGCCAACTATTGCTTCTACGACTATTGCTACCGCTTAGTGATCAAGTAAAGCAATTACATGGCGATTGCATTGCATACAATAAAGCAACAACCATATGGCTCCTGCCAGTTGCCGATAACTCCGTTACAAAACATGATCATCTCATACAAAAATATAGCATCATGTCTTGACCATATCACATCATAACATGCCCTGCAAAAACAAGTTAGACGTCCTCTACTTTGTTATTGCAAGTTTTACGTGGCTGCTACGAGCTGAGCAAGAACCATTCTTACCTACGCATCAAAACCACAACGATAGTTCGTCAAGTTAGTGTTGTTTTAACCTTCTCAAGGACCGGGCGTAGCCACACTCGGTTCAACTAAAGTTGGAGAAACTGACACCCGCCAGCCACCTGTGTGTGAAGCACATCGATAGAACCAGCCTCGCTGAAGCGTACGCATAATGTCGGTCTGGGCCGCTTCATCCAACAATACCGCCGAACCAAAGTATGACATGCTGGTAAGCAGTATGACTCGTATCGCCCACAACTCACTTGTGTTCTACTCGTGCATATAACATCTACGCATAAACCTGGCTCGAATACCACTCTTGGGGAATGTAGTAATTTCAAAAAAATCCTACACACACGCAAGATCATGGTGATGCATAGCAACGAGAGGGGAGATAGTCGTCCACGTACCCTCGTAGACCGTTAAGCGGAAGCGTTATGACAACGCGGTTAATGTAGTCGTACGTCTTCATGATCGACCGATCCTCAGTAGCGAACATACGGCACCTCCGCGTTCAGCACATGTTCAGCTCGGTGACGTCCCACGAACTCACGATCCAGTAGAGCTCGAGGGAGAGTTTCTTCAGCATGATGGCATGGTGACGATGTTGATGAAGCTACCGTCGCAGGGCTTCGTCTAAGCACCGCTACGATATGACCGAGGTGGATTATGGTGGAGGGGGGCACCGCACACGGCTGGGAGAGATCAATGATCAAGTTGTGTGTCTAGAGGTGCCCCCTGCCCCCGTATATAAAGGAGCAAGGGGGGAGAGGCGGCCGGCCAAGCAGGGCGCGCCAAGGGGGGAATCCTACTCCCACCGGGAGTAGGACTCCTCCTTTCCTAGTAGGAGTAGGAGAGGGGGAAGGAAAGGGGGAGGAGGAGAAGGAAAGAGGGGGCCGGGCCCCCTTGCTCTAAACCAATTCGGTTTGGGCCTTAGGGGCGCGCCCCACACTCCCCTTGCTGCCCTCTATTTCCACTAAGGCCCATGTAGGGCCCATTAAGCCCCGGGGGGTTCCGGTAACCCCCGGTACTCCGGTGTTTATCCGGTAACCTCCGGAACCCTTCCGGTGTCCGAATATAACCTTCCAATATATCAATCTTTATGTCTCGACCATTTCGAGACTCCTCGTCATGTCCGTGATCACATCCGGGACTCCGAACTACCTTCGGTACATCAAAACACAAAAACTCATAATACCGATCGTCACAGAACTTTAAGCGTGCGGACCCTACGGGTTCGTGAACTATGTAGACATGACCGAGACACGTCTCCGGTCAATAACCAATAGCGGAACCTGGATGTTCATATTGGCTCCTACATATTCTACGAAGATCTTTATTGGTCAAACCGCATAACAACATACGTTGTTCCCTTTGTCATCGGTATGTTACTTGCCCGAGATTCGATCGTCGGTATCTCAATACCTAGTTCAATCTCGTTACCGGCAAGTCTCTTTACTCGTTCTGTAATGCACTATCCCGCAACTAACTCATTAGTTGCATTGCTTGCAAGGCTTTAGTGATGTGCATTACCGAGAGGGCCCAGAGATACCTCTCCGACAATCGGAGTGACAAATCCTAATCTCGATCTATGCCAACTCAACAAGTACCATCGGAGACACCTGTAGAGCACCTTTATAATCACCCAGTTACGTTGTGACATTTGGTAGCACACAAAGTGTTCCTCCGGTAATCGGGAGTTGCATAATCTCATAGTCATAGGAACATGTATAAGTCATGAAGAAAGCAATAGCAGTAAACTTAAATGATCAAGTGCTAAGCTAACGGAATGGGTCAAGTCAATCACATCATTCTCTAATGATGTGATCCCGTTAATCAAATAACAACTCATGTCTACGGTTAGGAAACATAACCATCATTGATTCAACGAGCTAGTCAAGTAGAGGCAAACTAGTGACACTCTGTTTGTCTATGTATTCACACATGTACTAAGTTTCCGGTTAATACAATTCTAGCATAAATAATAAACATTTATCATGATATAAGGAAATAAATAATAACTTTATTATTGCCTCTAGGGCATATTTCCTTCAGAACCACCCATGACCGGATCCTGACACCACCATGACTTCGCTGCGGCACCAGGGGGTGCTGGTCATCCGTAGCGGCTCCATGGCGGCGGGCGACTCCACCTCCGCGACCTTGGCCGCGAGAGCTACAATTGCCTCCCACGCCCTCTGCCTAGCACAGCAAGCACCCCGCACCATAACACAAGATGGGTCAGGACCATGCATGCCGCCGTTTACCTCTGACTCGGAGTCCGCCGCCAAGAAGAGGTGCCATCAGAGGGGTTACGTACGCCCCAGCGTTGGGGTGCCAGACGAACTGCGCCGCGTCCGACGAGGCAGCGGTCACGCGCCTCCCGCCGGATCCAAGCGCCATTTGCACGGACACAATGGATACCCACCGTATCTAGTGTGATCGCGATCGGGCAAACTCCTCCCGAGAGCGGCAGAGAGCCATGCGAACGGTCATCTCCTCCTCGAGCCCGCATGGGACGAGGTCCCAGTCCACAGAAAACAAGGTCTCAAAGTTGGATCTAATGCCAGTCATGCCGGACAAGGACGAAGATCGCCGAAACGAAGCTTGGGGGCAGGGTATAGTGGAATTAAGTGACTAGGTTTTGGGATGCAGACGAGAACAAATATATGTAAAGTCGTGGTGGGTCATTGTGGGCCGAATCTAACGTGGTAGACGAGCCAGGGCCTCCCATATCTGTTCAGATTTAGGCTGGACATGAGACAGGAGAGCCGGTCAGCCTAGACGTAGAGGAAGTGTTTGAGGAGCCCGGCCGGAAGGGAGGAAGATCTTTCAGCCAAGCTCCAGCTTCAACAGGACAACTTTTCTCACGCTGGCACTGTGGCTTCCAGGACCTCCACTCTGATTGCATCCCTTGGGAGATTAGAGCTCCTCCACTCAGTAACTTTCTTCGCAGATCTGAACATTCCCTGGAAGCAGGGCTTTGTAAACCACGCAGTAACTTGCACTTGAGCTGAATGAAGTTAGCGCTTTTTTCTTGTCCATTCAAACGAGAAGAGGACCCAAGCACGTATTCACAAATTATAAAACAACACTTTTATCAGTGTTTACACCGTCCCTTTTGCTGCTCCCATTGCAATGCAGCACGGACATCACAAAATTATAAATCAAAGCAGGGAGACAAAGTTCATCTGGACCAATAGCAGCAGCAGTAGAAAATAGGGCAAAACTATTTGCAGTTGCACACGACACTGGAGCCTCGCTTACGATTATGAACAGAAGCAACACAGATGCTAGACTCAACAAAGACGAGACAAGCGTTGGTTTATATTATAGAACACAGGCCACTAGATACACTATCGAAATATGGCACAATACGCGACAAAGCCAGAGGCATGCACACCTGCCATCACAAAATCGAAGGATTTGGTCACCATGGCCGTTACTACACGGATGCCTGTTCGTCGAGTTCTTGGTCGTCGGGGGTAACTTTAGCTCGGATCGGCTCCTGGGCGTTGCTGGCGATCGACTCGGTTTCCTGAAGCTGCTTTGCTGGCGACCCTGACTCCTGATGATTATCTGTGTTTAGGTCCTCCATGCTTTTTGGCTGTGTGGCCTCAAGTGGGCCGCTTGCCTCTGATGGCAATTTCGGGAGTGACTTCCTCTGGGGCTTCTTCACTGAGTTTGATGGGGTTACTTTCTTCGCACCATTTTGAGTAGCCTTCTCATCAAGGCTCACACGGATAGGATGGCTTGGGGTGGTACTTTCTTCAGCCTCCAGCCCAGATTTGTTCTTGGAACGGCCAAGCTTTGGTGATTTAGCTCTAGTGGGAGGAATCTACAACAAATAAGAAATAACACAACAAGGTAATAAGTACTGTGATATTGTCCAATGTTTAGAATGCGGCAACACGTTTTAGCTAATGTTCACAGTGCAGGATGTTAAGTGGAGCATGTGCTGTTTGTTTCTGGACTGGTTCAGATGATTCAGCACCATGGTAGCGTACAATTGGTTCATAGTTGCTTTAAATGATGACTATCAAAATAGAGAAGTGTGATTTTATCCCATCTTTATGCTTCAACTCTACAATTGGTAGGTTGCTATTGAATAGACTAGAATGCTGCAAGGTAAAAGATTATTTTCTGCCGTACAGTGAATTTTAAATTTTAGATCAGGCAGGTCTGAGTACTAATATTGATCTTGTCTCAAGGCCCTGCAGTTTTGCATGTACCTTAACTGGCAGTACAGATTTTTCTATGAGTATAAAGGCTCTGCAACAGCATCCCATCCAAATGCAGCTATAATATCCACATGGCATACAGAATTTTCTGATGATTAACATTTTTAATATACTTTTAAATCTTGGTGTTTGAGCGCATGAAAAGTTCCATTTTCAGTATATCTTCTGAACATAGCATTTTAATGTTTTCCTGAAGTCCTGTTTTTAAGTGATGAAGTTCTATTTCCTGTATACAATGAAATGCAAATGTTTTTTTTTTCGGGCGGGAGCGAGGGGGTTCATGGTTATTTGCCCAGTAAGGGATAACCCCACACTCGGCTCCTTCTTACACTAGTAATAATGTACGTGCAACGCACGTTTATATTAAGTAGGATATTAGTTGCACGTTATATTAGGTAAGATATATCTGTTGCACGTTCGTATTTGGTAAGATACCAATTACTTTTTCACGGGAATGGTAGGATATTAATTACATGGCAGATTTCAAGGGATAGCGTTGAGTCAAAACGTGTTTATAACCAATGGCAGTAGTGGGTAATTAGAGCGTTAAACGTGTTTGGTGCTCAACATTGAAGCGATTTGAACCGCTAGATAACATGATTTGACGGTCGAGATGGTTTGGATCTGCCTATTTGGATCCTTTTATATTGGTATAGATAAGTCACATGACACTGTCATGAATTAACTTGTTGAAAAGCCAGGGATTCAGAAGGAATGAGGAGCAAAGCAGTATTACCTTTTTCAGTTCAACCTTTGGTGGTGGGGAGAAGCTTGGCATCGGCGTTGCCTTGAACTTTAAGCTTTTTCTCAGCATTTTGAGTTCAGCTTCTTCAGTCTCCTGTGAATAATAAGGCAACAAATGTCAGCAAGTAACATATGAGATGCAAGAATAACATTTAACATTTCCAAGAGATAACACAATGTCACCTTCGATTTAGCTTGCATATTGCTTATTTCCATCTCTCTTGCGTGAATCTTCTCCTCAAGCTTTGAGTAGAACTATATATTGGGTAAACAAAATAGCTGAATCAAATCTGCTTTTTTTCTCCAAATAAAATCAGGGAAATAGGGTATTAGACCAGAAATTACCTCTCTTCTTTTTTCAGCTCTCTCATCACACTTGAAACTGAATCCATAGGCAGGAGTGCTGCCAGCCCTTCGAGCTTTTGAACTTTCACTATTTAAATCTTCTTCATCTCTTCTGATGGAAGAATGCTGGTCTGATTGCTTTTGAGCTTTACTTCCCTCCCTGGATCTGTGGGGGTGAATATAACAGCATAAGTGACTCTGTGAGTATCCAACAAAACTAGATAGTATTAACGGGGAAAAGGAAGAATGGAGCATGAAATGTAAGAGAAATTCCCAAAGACCTTAGATGCAATTATGCAAATATGGTGACTCTGTGAGTATCCAACAAAACTAGATAGTATTAACGGGGAAAAGGAAGAATGGAGCATGAAATGTAAGAGAAATTCCCAAAGACCTTAGATGCAATTATGCAAATATGGTCCACAGACTCGGCCCTAAGTTGAACTTGACAATGAGAAAAGGAAGCACAATACTTCAACTGACCGATATTGAGCAGGGCTTTATGAAGTACACCCTCTGTTCCTAAATATAAGACGTTTTGGCAGTTCAATTTAAACTGCCAAAACATCTTATATTTAGAAACAGAGGTAGTACATGACATCCAAATGCTGGAAATACTAAAGTTAACTTCCAATACTGACACACTCGTTGAGGTTTGTGGCAGGTCGATAAATGACGAGATGAAAAGGTGTCGCTTCAGTGACATAGTAGAGAAATAGATCAAATAAGTATTATTTCAATTGAACTGATGTCTGACCGTCTGAGGGTGAGCATACATGTGTTTACCACATTGAGGTAATCCAAGAAATGGAAACATGGTACAATTCCCTATTTTTAACAAATCACTAACTAGCAACAAAAGGTTAATCTTTAAATGGCACCATAACTTTGGTTGGAACTTATCTTGATTACTAAAAGTTAGATATACAAAGAAATATAGGGCAAAATCCACTCTGTCTCAAAACAGGAAGTAAGACCACAGTACACAAGAAATAACGCAGAAACAGGAAAGAAATATGCATACTTTGCGTCCTCGAGCAATGATGTCTCCTTGGCAGACGGACGAGACTCGATCTTTCCAGATTTCTGATTACCATTACCAAACAAAGTATTTGAGACCTAGCTGGCTTGGATATGGAACCAATTCCGGGTAACATAGGAATAATAAAATCAAGCAGAACGGAGAACTCACTTTCTTATCGACACTCGGATCACCATTGGTACAAGAGCCAGTGCCTGAGTCTGCATGTGATACTCGCGCAATGGGTGCCTTACGAAGAGAGGAACTAGGGGTGCTTCTCCTTGCTAGACCTTCATCTCCACTCTTTGGGCTCCTTGTCTTTGCAACCTTAGGACCATGACTTGCAGCTCCCTATAAGCACATCATGTAGAAAACACTAATCAGAACAGTATTGTCACCAGACAGGCACAAAACATCACTGTCACAAGATCACCTTGGAACGGCCGATCTTCCTCCCTTCTGGCTGTGAGGTGGCTTCTCCACCTGCCTCTTCGTGCGGGTTGATCACCTCACTCTCCCCTGAATGGTCTCTGTTGGCCTGCGCATCATGCTCTTCGCCGCGCTCCTCTACACTGTCAGGCAACTCCAGCTTCGCCCCGTTATCTATAGTCACAGCGCCCATAGCATCGGCAACATCAACAACGGCATCCATCTCGGCCAAGGCTCGCCTCTTGCACAATTTATTAATAACCCCTGCTCCGCACAGTCTCGTATATCCCTAACTCACCGCCATTCAACCTTGCCACAGAATCATGCTCTGTTGCCCTGCACCCCACGAGAATGCACAATGTAGTGTAAGATTGCTAATCATGGTGCTTACTTCAGAGATATTTAACTTGACGGTCCTCGCAAGATACAAATCCACGGAACTTGGTGGAACAAATGTGCATCGGCTGACTGTGAATCCACGCATGCGTGAAGAAACTAACACCAAAAAACGATCAAACGCATGCGTGAAGAAACTAACACCAAGAAACTCAAACGCACACGCTATACGATCCCACAAACAAAACATGTGGTCTTTCGTTCCCACAGTGAGGAGCGCACCAAATCCGACCAGCGCCGCGGAAAAGCCGGATCCAGACCACTATGGATCCGGGTAAAGGGGGATCCACGCTCAAGATCTGCTGCCAAGAAACGCCAAATGCGTGCAGATCTAGCTGAGTAACCGCTAGGACGGTGGCACCAGCAAGAAAGGAGAGGGGTGGGAAATGTGAGAAAGATGGTTTCTTTACCTCGCCGGAGAAGAGCATATGGGAATGGCGTGGCGGAGGCGTGCGGTGGACGGGGGGAGAGAGAGTGAGTGGGGCGGCGGCTCGCCGGCTCCCGCGGAGAACGAAGCGAGGGCCGAGGAAGACGAGGGGACAGGGTGGTGACTGTGTCTGAGTTGGAGGGTTCCAATCTGGTTGTCTTTCATGTTTCCTTTTCTTTTCTCTTCTTTTACTGTTTCCTTTTCTTTGTGTCCCCTAGATTTTCAATTTGTCAGGCCTTCTGACATTTTAGAGCATCTCCAACACAGATACCTTCATAGACATGGACAATAAAAATAATGCCCTCACTATCCACCAAGACACGCATTTATGAATACCACCTTGTTATTCAGCTTCAAACGAGTTGAAATTTTACGAAAAATTATTTTAAAATATATAAAAATATTGGAATAAAGAAATACCAGAGAGGGACACTCAGGTGCCCACTAGGCACCAGGGTGCGCCTGTCCCCCATGGCGCCCTGGTGGATAGTGGGAGCCCTGGCCCACCTCTGGTGCCCATTTTCTAGTACATAGGGTCTTTTGCCCTAGAGAAAATAAGGACAGGAATTTTGGGACAAAGCGCCGCCGTCTCGAGGCGGAACTTGGGCAGGAGCACTTTTGCTCTCCGGCGAAGCGATTCCGTCGGGGATACTTCCTTCCAGGAGGGGGAAACTGAAGCTATTGTCATCACCAACAACCCTCTCATCGTGGGAGGGGCAATCTTCGTCAACATTTTCAAAGGCAACATCTCATCTCAAAATCCTAGTTCATCTCTTGTGTTCAATCCTTGTAATAAAACCTCACATTGGTACCTGATGATCCACAAGTATAGGGGATCTATCGTAGTCCTTTCGATAAGTAAGAGTGTCGAACCCAACGAGAAGCAGAAGGAAATGACAAGTGGTTTTCAGCAAGGTATTCTCTGCAAGCACTGAAATTATCGGTAACAGATAGTTTTGTGATAAAATAAATCATAACGGGTAACAAGTAACAAAAGTAACTAAGGTGCAGCAAGGTGGCCCAATCCTTTTTGTAGCAAAGGACAAATCTGGGCGAACTCTTATATGAAGCAAACACTACTGCAGGATGGTCCAAACATGACACTACGACCAGAGACCCTTCGACGAAACTGTGTGCGATGCCATAATCACAAACGGGGGTGTAAAAAAGCATCAAAAAAATGCAAAACGTTTGCGATGACGGATGCATCAAACACGGTACAGATTGTAGTTGTGTGTGCGATGCAGGGCATACGATTCAGTTCAATTAACTGTTTGGGATGAGGAGGAACAAAAAAGACGGGTAGCCAGATGAAAGCATGTGCGATATATTGCATACGGTTCATTAGGATGAACTATGTGTGATTAGGCAACACAATGTAAACGATTCAACTCAACAAGATGTGTGTGATACGCGGCAAACGAGTTCGTAATCAGAAATGTGTGTGAAGACCAATAATAACACAGACGATTGCTACTAATAAGCCGTGTAATTTGCTCTGTCTATAGTAGAATAACATGTATATATATAACTAAAATAAACATCCAATTACATAAGTAACTATACAGATCATTCACACACACCTCAATAAACAATTGCGTGCATTCTAAAGTAGGAGAAATGATCGTCTAGTCATCTACTTCTTGTGACGCTCCCGTCATTGCTATGTGGCTCGATCCCTCGTCTGGGTCAGGAAGAAGACAGTTCCTCATGTCAACGATCCGTCTGTATATCTCGTAGCTTGTGTATGCATCCATGGCCGCGTACTTGACATGTTGTTCATCCAGTCTCTTATGCCACACACTGTGCCAGGCGTTCCTGCCCTTATTGCTCTCACTCTTTATCTTCATGTAGTAGGGGTCGATGATGGCCGAGCGAGGTCAACTAGGGAGTTCAGTTTGTTTTTGTCGCTGCCCCAGACCTTGTAGTGGCTTTGGATGTTGACAAGATTCGGACATTCAAGCACGAAACCTTGAGCGATTTTAGATCGTTTGTGGTGTCCACCACAATGAAACTGTAGTCGGAGCTGTTGATAAACCTGGAGAAACGCTCACAAGGCGCTGTGGCCAGGTGGTAGTGGTAGACGAGGACGCCATGTCGCACGCACAACTAGACGACGACAACCTTCTGATTCTGCCCGGCATGACCCATGGTGTACTCGAGGTCGAAGCCGACCACTTGGTACTTGTCCTTGACCAGGAACTGCTCTATAGTTCGGATGGAGCTCTCCACCGAGACCGGATCGTTCGTGTACACCACTAAGAGAGCCTTTCCCCTCACGTGGGTGTCCACGACGTGTTGCGTGGTGAACTTCCCGCCGTTGTCGTCGGCGGCCGCTGGAAGCGCCATTGGAACCGCTGGATATCCTCTCTGTATGTGTCCTTGTGGGTGTGCTCATTGTGTCATGTGAGATGAGAGATGAAAGTAAACGACCGCAGGAATAAAAGGGGGTCGGGCGGCGTGGATTCTCCGCGCGTCCGCATGACAGTTTTTGCAGCGGGTAACTGTATCATCGCGCCGCGCCCGGCGCAACCGCATGCACACAAACGTGCATGATCGTGCGCCGGCCCCGAACACTGGCAGCGCGCGTGGAGGGACGAGGGCAAAGCACCCGAAGAGACGTGAGAGCAGAACGCGCGCAGCGGGACGCGAGCAGAGTGCGCCGCAGCCGCCTGAACCGCAAGCAACCACACGCATAGAGCAGTTGAACATGCAGGAAATGGTTGCCTACAAGCCGGACGACAGTTGTGTCGCTGCGTAGAGAGCGGCGTGTGCTACCACCTCCATCTAGTCTATAGTCCCCTTTATATTCTATGGCATACTTTGCCCTCAAATTTAACCAACAAAATTTTACTGCATGTTATAAAAATTATATAATTGAAAACTATGTCAAATGCGAATCTAACTATATAATCTTTGGCGACATGCATTCGTATTTTATTAGTTAATTCAGACTTATAAATCAGGATAGGGGTATAGTAGGTAATTAAATCGCAAATGTTTTTTATTAACCGTATGTGTACGTGACCTTTCGTCCTCCTCTCGCACGTCTTGTCACCCCGCTGTCGCAGACGGCTTCCGACGCAAGCTTGTGCAGCGCGCGGGGCGTTCTTTCGTCCAAACGGTGGCGCCAATGAATCGTCGGTGAGCCCATTCCCGCGCAACCTCGCAGGTTTCCGCGCAAACTTCTCGCCCGACTCGGTAAAATCCCCCAAAATCCCAATGCTTACCGGCCTGCTATAAAAACCCTCATGGCCGGCGAGTCCTGCGTCGCATTTTCCGCTCCCTTCCTATAGCTTATCTTGTCTGCTTCTCCCATAATCGTCAATAGCACCGGTCCGTCGTCGTCGCTCAGCCACTCTGCCGTCATCAGAGGACAGCTCCAGCTGGGAGGCTACACCGTGGCGGCGGCGCAGTCCCTCGCGTAGTGTAGTGCGTGTGGTGTCCCTGTTGGGTGTGCGCGAAACACCCACCACACGCTCAGTCGCCGGTGCCTGTCGGCAGCTGTTGCCGCCACACCACCGTCGAAAGCCAGGGCCATCTCTCGTTCCGCCGCCGCGGCCCGAAGGCGGGAGGTGGCCGTCATGGCCGCTACCCCACTGCCGGCCACCGTGGGCATCACCCGCTTCGCCACCGCGGCCCGAAGGCGGGAGGTGGTGGTCGTGGACATCACCCCATCGTCGGTCGGCGTGGCCGCCAGCCCGCCGTCGACCGCCGGGGTCATCACCCGCTCCACCACCGCCGCCCGAAGGCGGGAGGCGGAGGTAGATGTCCGCACGTGCGTCAGCGACCTTGCGCGCTACACCGAGTTCCTGCGGGAGGAGGAGGAGCGCCTCGTCGGGCACGCAAAGAGCCTTACCGCCGCCGAGGCCGCGGCACACGCCACCTTAGAGGCGAGGAATCAGGAGATCTACGAGGAGAACCTCCACTTCGAGAGGGGTCGTCTGGAGCGGCAGAGGGCGTTCGAGGTGAGCGTTGCTGAAGCTGCAACGACAGCAGGTATCGTATTGCGGTTGCCCAGCTCGTCGGTAGGCTCCTCCTCCTACGCCTCTTACTGAGCGCGCTCGGCAGAGGAGAGGGAGCCGGAAGTAGTACACAGCCCCTCCACAGTAGTAGTAGTATTTAGTGGCTATTTTGTTCAGTTCATCTGACTATAGATGTGGTGGAACTGTACAACATACTTAAAATTAGCTAGTATATATAAGTTAACTAGCTATTTCAGTACGTGGTTGGCAACAATTAGGAAAAAGTTTGGTCGGTTCAGCTGTCGAGTTAAACTGTTTGTATAAATTAAGAATGACTACTTAATCTATGAATGAAATCTATGCTTAATTATTGAATTTTAGTTGCAAAAATTAGATATTGCTAGTGATTTTTAACTTCATATTTTGACAAATCAT